TATATATATATATATACCAGATGATTTACTGATTTAAGAAACTGGATTGCAATTTTCTTGTTAATTTTAGGTGGCTTTTATTCAGAACTTGGTATTTTATATCGAATCTGCCTATTGCACTCCGGATTATGGAATTTGGGAGAGAGGGGATAAAACGAATCATGGTTTACCAGAATTAAATGCAAGTAGTATTGGAATGGCCAAGGCTGCAATGGAGGCAATGAACGAATTGGATTTATTTGGTGCAAGAGGTGGACCTACATCAGTTATTCATGTTCTGGCAGACGAGGCACAAAAATGTCAAGCAGTACTGCAATCCATGCTGCCTAGAGAGTCAAATTCCAAAGAGTTGGATAGTGGTTTGCTATCAATTATAAGTTTCCCTGCGTTTGCAGTAGACGAGCCTAATTTAATTCACGAAACACGTGAGGCTATTACCAAGAAATTACAAGGACGATATGGTTGTAAAAGATTTTTAAGAGATGGATATAAAACGCCAAAAGAGGATATGAATAGGTATTTATTTAATAATAATTTTTAGTAAAATTTATTTTGACTAATAATTATATTCTTGGAAATAGATTATATTATGAACCATGGGAGCTTCGTATGTTCGAGAATATCGAATGCGAATGGCCACTATTCTTCTGTTATTTAATATTGGATTACTGCTTCCAAGGCAATAAAGAAGCAGTTGAGACATCCACCAAACAGTTGGAAGAAGTAATGATTAAAGCGGAAGATGGTATGAAATTGGTGCCTGAATTATACTCCGTCGCACCTGAGAATGTATCAGCGGAGTATGCTGAACCTGGTAGCCAAAATCGAATAGCTTTAGGCAGATGTCCATTTAAATGGGCACAATCTCTTTATATTCTAGGAAAATTGCTGCAAGAGGTAACATACTTTCAGAAATATAGTTGAGGCAAATTAAGAACTTTCTTACCACATTTAAAAAATTAATAACATTTCTTATCATATTATCTTATAATTTATATACAAATATTAAATATTTGATAATTTTATTTGCTATTTCTTCTATATACAATGAAGTGTTTTAATCTAGAAAATTATGTTCAATACAATAATCCTATTAACTGTTACATTAATAATAAAATATTTCCGTAATATAATTCTTTTCAATAATTTATTTCAACTTTTAGGGATTTCTTGCAGTTGGCGAGTTAGATCCCTTAAATAGACGATTATGCAGCGAGAAAAAACCGGATGTTGTGGTACAAGTAGTTATTTTGGCAGAAGATACAGAAATCAGGGAAAAAATTGCACAGCACGATATTCATGTACAAACAATTGCAGAAGTTGCACCGATTGAGGTACAACCCGCAAAAGTCCTCAGTCATTTATACACATATTTAGGTACGACTCAACAAAAATCGCAAATTGTTTAAAAATATTTTACTAAAGCATAATTTAGATATTATATATTTTATATCTCGTTTTTAGGACGCAACAAAAAATTAGGACTATCCGGGCGTAAGTCAAGGGACGTAGGAATTCTCAGCACTAGTAAACTGTATTCCTTACACGATAAGATATTCGCGTTCACGCCACAGGTAAATACTCGCATTTTATGGTAAGCCTTATCATCTTTTTGTATCTTTACTTCTTTTCTTATGTTTCCTCTTGTTCTCGCACCGAATTGACTAGTTGACAGATATGACCCGCTTCTACATCGCATCGGACTATGAGCTCATGATTGACATATTCAAAGGTGAAATTAATTTCTTGAAGTCTAGTTGGCAGAATATGTTGGGCCGGCCTCTCGTGGTCATGCCCCTCAAGAATATTCATCTAGGTAATTTAACGATTTCAAAATCATAGTTCTTTTTTAGTCGTTACTTTAGACTTTCTGAAGTCCGTTGAAGTTGTCATGATTAGACAAATTTTGTGGCTCTTCTTAGAAGTTTTGATGAATTTCTTGCGTGAAATTCTCATTTTTTTATAAACATTATGACTGTCCGCTCTGAACAACTAATGTCTGCTTGCATGCGTTTGTTTTTGTCATGGTTTCATTTAACAGTTACTTAACTCTCTATGGCTTACATGATTTTGAATTCTTCAAGATTTATGTTTGTTATACACGATATGCCTTAATAATACATTATATGAGTTTTAACTATAATTTACTTCGATAATAACGTATTTAGTTTCGAAATTAGTACATAATATTATCCATGGAGAGTTACATGAGCTTTTTTAATTAGTTTCATTCATGTTATGTTTCTATTCTTTTCATTACTAACATAAATCGGACACTCGGGTCTCAAAAGTGGATGCGATTGTGAATTGTGTTGATATTAAAGATGTTCAACTGA